ATGAAGAAAGCTGGAGATACTAGAATGACATGGGAGCAGATGAAAAAAGATGGAGATACTAGAATGACATGGGAGCAGATGAAGAAAGCTGGAGATACTAGAATGACATGGGAGCAGATGAAGAAAGCTTGGGATACTGGAATGACATAGGAGCAGATGAAGAAAGCTGAGGATACTAGAATGACATTGGAGCAGATGAAGAAAGATGGAGATACTAGAATGACATGGGAGCAGATGAAGAAAGCTGGAGATACTAGAATGACATGGGAGCAGATGAAGAAAGCTGGGGATACTGGAATGACATAGGAGCAGATGAAGAAAGCTGGAGATACTAGAATGACATGGGAGTAGATGAAGAAAGATGGAGATACTAGAATGACATGGGAGCAGATGAAGAAAGATGGAGATACTAGAATGACATGGGAGCAGATGAAGAAAGCTGGAGATACTAGAATGCCATGGGAGCAGATGAAGAAAGCTGGAGATAATGAAATGACATGGGAGCAGATGAAGAAAGCTGGGGATACTGGAATGACATAGGAGCAGATGAAGAAAGCTGGAGATACTAGAATGATATGGGAGCAGATGAAGAAAGCTGGAGATACTAGAATGCCATGGGAGCAGATGAAGAAAGCTGAGGATACTAGAATGACATGGGAGCAGATGAAGAAAGCTGAGGAAACTAGAATGACATGGGAGCAGATGAAGAAAGCTAGAGATACTAGAATGACATGGGAGCAGATATAGAAAGCTGAGGATACTGGAATGACATGGGAGCAGATGAAGAAAACTGAGGAAACTGGAATGACATGGGAGCAGATGAAGAAAGCTGAGGATACTGGAATGACATGGGAGCAGATGAAGAAAGCTGGAGATACTAGAATGACATGGGAGCAGATGAAGAAAGCTGGAGATACTAGAATGCCATGGGAGCAGATGAAGAAAGCTGGGGATACTGGAATGACATAGGAGCAGATGAAGAATGCTGGAGATACTAGAATGACATGGGAGCAGATGAAGAAAGCTGGAGATACTAGAATGACATGGGAGCAGATGAAGAAAGCTGGGGATACTGGAATGACATAGGAGCAGATGAAGAAAGCTGGAGATACTAGAATGACATGGGAGCAGATGAAGAAAGATGGAGATACTAGAATGACATGGGAGCAGATGAAGAAAGCTGGAGATAATGAAATGACATGGGAGCAGATGAAGAAAGCTGGGGATACTGGAATGACATAGGAGCAGATGAAGAAAGCTGGAGATACTAGAATGACATGGGAGCAGATGAAGAAAGCTGGGGATACTGGAATGACATAGGAGCAGATGAAGAAAGCTGAGGATACTAGAATGACATGGGAGCAGATGAAGAAAGCTGAGGATACTAGAATGACATGGGAGTAGATGAAGAAAGCTGGAGATACTAGAATGACATGGTAGCAGATGAAGAAAGATGGAGATACTAGAATGACATGGGAGCAGATGAAGAAAGCTGGAGATAATGAAATGACATGGGAGCAGATGAAGAAAGCTGAGGATACTGGAATGACATGGGAGCAGATGAAGAAAGCTGGAGATACTAGAATGACATGGGAGCAGATGAAGAAAGCTGGAGATACTAGAATGCCATGGGAGCAGATGAAGAAAGCTGGGGATACTGGAATGACATAGGAGCAGATGAAGAAAGCTGGAGATACTAAAATGACATGGGAGTAGATGAAGAAAGCTGGAGATACTAGAATGACATGGGAGCAGATGAAGAAAGCTGGAGTACTAGAATGACATAGGAGCAGATGAAGAAAGCTGGAGATACTAGAATGACATGGGAGCAGATGAAGAAAGATGGAGATACTAGAATGACATGGGAGCAGATGAAGAAAGCTGGAGATACTAGAATGACATGGGAGCAGCTGAAGAAAGCTGGGGATACTGGAATGACATAGGAGCAGATGAAGAAAGCTGAGGATACTAGAATGACATGGGAGCAGATGAAGAAAGCTGAGGATACTAGAAGGACATGGGAGCAGATGAAGAAAGCTGGAGATACTAGAATGACATGGGAGCAGATGAAGAAAGCTGAGGATACTGAAATGACATGGGAGCAGATGAAGAAAACTAAGGAAACTGGAATGACATGGGAGCAGATGAAGAAAGCTGAGGATACTGGAATGACATGGGAGCAGATGAAGAAAGCTGGAGATACTAGAATGACATGGGAGCAGATGAAGAAAGCTGGAGATACTAGAATGCCATGGGAGCAGATGAAGAAAGCTGGGGATACTGGAATGACATAGGAGCAGAAGAAGAAAGCTGGAGATACTAGAATGACATTGGAGCAGATGAAGAAAGCTGGAGATACTAGAATGACATGGGAGCAGATGAAGAAAGCTGGGGATACTGGAATGACATAGGAGCAGATGAAGAAAGCTGGAGATACTGGAATGACATGGGAGCAGATGAAGAAAGCTGGAGATACTAGAATGACATGGGAGCAGATGAAAAAAGATGGAGATACTAGAATGACATGGGAGCAGATGAAGAAAGCTGGAGATACTAGAATGACATGGGAGCAGATGAAGAAAGCTTGGGATACTGGAATGACATAGGAGCAGATGAAGAAAGCTGAGGATACTAGAATGACATTGGAGCAGATGAAGAAAGATGGAGATACTAGAATGACATGGGAGCAGATGAAGAAAGCTGGAGATACTAGAATGACATGGGAGCAGATGAAGAAAGCTGGGGATACTGGAATGACATAGGAGCAGATGAAGAAAGCTGGAGATACTAGAATGACATGGGAGTAGATGAAGAAAGATGGAGATACTAGAATGACATGGGAGCAGATGAAGAAAGATGGAGATACTAGAATGACATGGGAGCAGATGAAGAAAGCTGGAGATACTAGAATGCCATGGGAGCAGATGAAGAAAGCTGGAGATAATGAAATGACATGGGAGCAGATGAAGCAAGCTGGGGATACTGGAATGACATAGGAGCAGATGAAGAAAGCTGGAGATACTAGAATGATATGGGAGCAGATGAAGAAAGCTGGAGATACTAGAATGCCATGGGAGCAGATGAAGAAAGCTGAGGATACTAGAATGACATGGGAGCAGATGAAGAAAGCTGAGGAAACTAGAATGACATGGGAGCAGATGAAGAAAGCTAGAGATACTAGAATGACATGGGAGCAGATATAGAAAGCTGAGGATACTGGAATGACATGGGAGCAGATGAAGAAAACTGAGGAAACTGGAATGACATGGGAGCAGATGAAGAAAGCTGAGGATACTGGAATGACATGGGAGCAGATGAAGAAAGCTGGAGATACTAGAATGACATGGGAGCAGATGAAGAAAGCTGGAGATACTAGAATGCCATGGGAGCAGATGAAGAAAGCTGGGGATACTGGAATGACATAGGAGCAGATGAAGAATGCTGGAGATACTAGAATGACATGGGAGCAGATGAAGAAAGCTGGAGATACTAGAATGACATGGGAGCAGATGAAGAAAGCTGGGGATACTGGAATGACATAGGAGCAGATGAAGAAAGCTGGAGATACTAGAATGACATGGGAGCAGATGAAGAAAGATGGAGATACTAGAATGACATGGGAGCAGATGAAGAAAGCTGGAGATAATGAAATGACATGGGAGCAGATGAAGAAAGCTGGGGATACTGGAATGACATAGGAGCAGATGAAGAAAGCTGGAGATACTAGAATGACATGGGAGCAGATGAAGAAAGCTGGGGATACTGGAATGACATAGGAGCAGATGAAGAAAGCTGAGGATACTAGAATGACATGGGAGCAGATGAAGAAAGCTGAGGATACTAGAATGACATGGGAGTAGATGAAGAAAGCTGGAGATACTAGAATGACATGGTAGCAGATGAAGAAAGATGGAGATACTAGAATGACATGGGAGCAGATGAAGAAAGCTGGAGATAATGAAATGACATGGGAGCAGATGAAGAAAGCTGAGGATACTGGAATGACATGGGAGCAGATGAAGAAAGCTGGAGATACTAGAATGACATGGGAGCAGATGAAGAAAGCTGGAGATACTAGAATGCCATGGGAGCAGATGAAGAAAGCTGGGGATACTGGAATGACATAGGAGCAGATGAAGAAAGCTGGAGATACTAAAATGACATGGGAGTAGATGAAGAAAGCTGGAGATACTAGAATGACATGGGAGCAGATGAAGAAAGCTGGAGTACTAGAATGACATAGGAGCAGATGAAGAAAGCTGGAGATACTAGAATGACATGGGAGCAGATGAAGAAAGATGGAGATACTAGAATGACATGGGAGCAGATGAAGAAAGCTGGAGATACTAGAATGACATGGGAGCAGCTGAAGAAAGCTGGGGATACTGGAATGACATAGGAGCAGATGAAGAAAGCTGAGGATACTAGAATGACATGGGAGCAGATGAAGAAAGCTGAGGATACTAGAAGGACATGGGAGCAGATGAAGAAAGCTGGAGATACTAGAATGACATGGGAGCAGATGAAGAAAGCTGAGGATACTGAAATGACATGGGAGCAGATGAAGAAAACTAAGGAAACTGGAATGACATGGGAGCAGATGAAGAAAGCTGAGGATACTGGAATGACATGGGAGCAGATGAAGAAAGCTGGAGATACTAGAATGACATGGGAGCAGATGAAGAAAGCTGGAGATACTAGAATGCCATGGGAGCAGATGAAGAAAGCTGGGGATACTGGAATGACATAGGAGCAGATGAAGAAAGCTGGAGATACTAAAATGACATGGGAGTAGATGAAGAAAGCTGGAGATACTAGAATGACATGGGAGCAGATGAAGAAAGCTGGAGTACTGGAATGACATAGGAGCAGATGAAGAAAGCTGGAGATACTAGAATGACATGGGAGCAGATGAAGAAAGATGGAGATACTAGAATGACATGGGAGCAGATGAAGAAAGCTGGAGATACTAGAATGACATGGGAGCAGCTGAAGAAAGCTGGGGATACTGGAATGACATAGGAGCAGATGAAGAAAGCTGAGGATACTAGAATGACATGGGAGCAGATGAAGAAAGCTGAGGATACTAGAATGACATGGGAGCAGATGAAGAAAGCTGGAGATACTAGAATGACATGGGAGCAGATGAAGAAAGCTGAGGATACTGGAATGACATGGGAGCAGATGAAGAAAACTGAGGAAACTGGAATGACATGGGAGCAGATGAAGAAAGCTGAGGATACTGGAATGACATGGGAGCAGATGAAGAAAGCTGGAGATACTAGAATGACATGGGAGCAGATGAAGAAAGCTGGAGATACTAGAATGCCATGGGAGCAGATGAAGAAAGCTGGGGATACTGGAATGACATAGGAGCAGATGAAGAAAGCTGGAGATACTAAAATGACATGGGAGTAGATGAAGAAAGCTGGAGATACTAGAATGACATGGGAGCAGATGAAGAAAGCTGGAGTACTGGAATGACATAGGAGCAGATGAAGAAAGCTGGAGATACTAGAATGACATGGGAGCAGATGAAGAAAGCTGGGGATACTGGAATGACATAGGAGCAGATGAAGAAAGATGGAGATACTAGAATGACATGGGAGCAGATGAAGAAAGCTGGAGATAATGAAATGACATGGGAGCAGATGAAGAAAGCTGGGGATACTGGAATGACATAGGAGCAGATGAAGAAAGCTGGAGATACTAGAATGACATGGGAGCAGATGAAGAAAGCTGGGGATACTGGAATAACATAGGAGCAGATGAAGAAAGCTTAGGATACTAGAAAGACATGGGAGCAGATGAAGAAAGCTGAGGATACTAGAATGACATGGGAGCAGATGAAGAAAGCTGGAGATACTAGAATGACATGGGAGCAGATGAAGAAAGCTGAGGATACTGGAATGACATGGGAGCAGATGAAGAAAACTGAGGATACTGGAATGACATGGGAGCAGATGAAGAAAGCTGGAGATACTAGAATGACATGGGAGCAGATGAAGAAAGCTGGAGATACTAGAATGCCATGGGAGCAGATGAAGAAAGCTGGGGATACTGGAATGACATAGGAGCAGATGAAGAAAGCTGGAGATACTAGAATGACATGGGAGCAGATGAAGAAAGCTGGAGATACTAGAATGACATGGGAGCAGATGAAGAAAGCTGGAGATAATGAAATGACATGGGAGCAGATGAAGAAAGCTGGGGATACTGGAATGACATAGGAGCAGATGAAGAAAGCTGGAGATACTAGAATGACATGGGAGCAGATGAAGAAAGCTGGGGATACTGGAATAACATAGGAGCAGATGAAGAAAGCTTAGGATACTAGAAAGACATGGGAGCAGATGAAGAAAGCTGAGGATACTAGAATGACATGGGAGCAGATGAAGAAAGCTGGAGATACTAGAATGACATGGGAGCAGATGAAGAAAGCTGAGGATACTGGAATGACATGGGAGCAGATGAAGAAAACTGAGGATACTGGAATGACATGGGAGCAGATGAAGAAAGCTGGAGATACTAGAATGACATGGGAGCAGATGAAGAAAGCTGGAGATACTAGAATGCCATGGGAGCAGATGAAGAAAGCTGGGGATACTGGAATGACATAGGAGCAGATGAAGAAAGCTGGAGATACTAGAATGACATGGGAGCAGATGAAGAAAGCTGGAGATACTAGAATGACATGGGAGCAGATGAAGAAAGCTGGGGATACTGGAATGACATAGGAGCAGATGAAGAAAGCTGGAGATACTAGAATGACATGGGAGCAGATGAAGAAAGATGGAGATACTAGAATGACATGGGAGCAGATGAAGAAAGCTGGAGATAATGAAATGACATGGGAGCAGATGAAGAAAGCTGGGGATACTAGAATGACATAGGAGCAGATGAAGAAAGCTGGAGATACTAGAATGACATGGGAGCAGATGAAGAAAGCTGGGGATACTGGAATGACATAGGAGCAGATGAAGAAAGCTGAGGATACTAGAATGACATGGGAGCAGATGAAGAAAGCTGAGGATACTAGAATGACATGGGAGCATATGAAGAAAGCTGGAGATACTAGAATGACATGGGAGCAGATGAAGAAAGCTGAGGATACTGGAATGTCATGGGAGCAGATGAAGAAAACTGAGGAAACTGGAATGACATGGGAGCAGATGAAGAAAGCTGAGGATACTGGAATGACATGGGAGCAGATGAAGAAAGCTGGAGATACTAGAATGACATGGGAGCAGATGAAGAAAGCTGGAGATACTAGAATGCCATGGGAGCAGATGAAGAAAGCTGGGGATACTGGAATGACATAGGAGCAGATGAAGAAAGCTGGAGATACTAAAATGACATGGGAGTAGATGAAGAAAGCTGGAGATACTAGAATGACATGGGAGCAGATGAAGAAAGCTGGAGTACTGGAATGACATAGGAGCAGATGAAGAAAGCTGGAGATACTAGAATGACATGGGAGCAGATGAAGAAAGATGGAGATACTAGAATGACATGGGAGCAGATGAAGAAAGCTGGAGATACTAGAATGACATGGGAGCAGCTGAAGAAAGCTGGGGATACTGGAATGACATAGGAGCAGATGAAGAAAGCTGAGGATACTAGAATGACATGGGAGCAGATAAAGAATGCTGAGGATACTAGAATGACATGGGAGCAGATGAAGAAAGCTGGAGATACTAGAATGACATGGGAGCAGATGAAGAAAGCTGAGGATACTGGAATGACATGGGAGCAGATGAAGAAAACTGAGGATACTGGAATGACATGGGAGCAGATGAAGAAAGCTGGAGATACTAGAATGACATGGGAGCAGATGAAGAAAGCTGGAGATACTAGAATGCCATGGGAGCAGATGAAGAAAGCTGGGGATACTGGAATGACATAGGAGCAGATGAAGAAAGCTGGAGATACTAGAATGACATGGGAGCAGATGAAGAAAGCTGGAGATACTAGAATGACATGGGAGCAGATGAAGAAAGCTGGGGATACTGGAATGACATAGGAGCAGATGAAGAAAGCTGGAGATACTAGAATGACATGGGAGCAGATGAAGAAAGATGGAGATACTAGAATGACATGGGAGCAGATGAAGAAAGCTGGAGATAATGAAATGACATGGGAGCAGATGAAGAAAGCTGGGGATACTAGAATGACATAGGAGCAGATGAAGAAAGCTGGAGATACTAGAATGACATGGGAGCAGATGAAGAAAGCTGGGGATACTGGAATGACATAGGAGCAGATGAAGAAAGCTGAGGATACTAGAATGACATGGGAGCAGATGAAGAAAGCTGAGGATACTAGAATGACATGGGAGCATATGAAGAAAGCTGGAGATACTAGAATGACATGGGAGCAGATGAAGAAAGCTGAGGATACTGGAATGTCATGGGAGCAGATGAAGAAAACTGAGGAAACTGGAATGACATGGGAGCAGATGAAGAAAGCTGAGGATACTGGAATGACATGGGAGCAGATGAAGAAAGCTGGAGATACTAGAATGACATGGGAGCAGATGAAGAAAGCTGGAGATACTAGAATGCCATGGGAGCAGATGAAGAAAGCTGGGGATACTGGAATGACATAGGAGCAGATGAAGAAAGCTGGAGATACTAAAATGACATGGGAGTAGATGAAGAAAGCTGGAGATACTAGAATGACATGGGAGCAGATGAAGAAAGCTGAGGATACTGGAATGACATAGGAGCAGATGAAGAAAGCTGGAGATACTAGAATGACATGGGAGCAGATGAAGAAAGATGGAGATACTAGAATGACATGGGAGCAGATGAAGAAAGCTGGAGATACTAGAATGACATGGGAGCAGCTGAAGAAAGCTGGGGATACTGGAATGACATAGGAGCAGATGAAGAAAGCTGAGGATACTAGAATGACATGGGAGCAGATAAAGAAAGCTGAGGATACTAGAATGACATGGGAGCAGATGAAGAAAGCTGGAGATACTAGAATGACATGGGAGCAGATGAAGAAAGCTGAGGATACTGGAATGACATGGGAGCAGATGAAGAAAACTGAGGAAACTGGAATGACATGGGAGCAGATGAAGAAAGCTGAGGATACTGGAATGACATGGGAGCAGATGAAGAAAGCTGGAGATACTAAAATGACAAGGGAGCAGATGAAGAAAGCTGAGGATACTGGAATGACATGGGAGCAGATGAAGAAAACTGAGGAAACTGGAATGACATGGGAGCAGATGAAGAAAGCTGAGGATACTGGAATGACATGGGAGCAGATGAAGAAAGCTGGAGATACTAGAATGACATGGGAGCAGATGAAGAAAGCTAGAGATACTAGAATGCCATGGGAGCAGATGAAGAAAGCTGGGGATACTGGAATGACATAGGAGCAGATGAAGAAAGCTGGAGATACTAAAATGACATGGGAGTAGATGAAGAAAGCTGGAGATACTAGAATGACATGGGAGCAGATGAAGAAAGCTGGAGTACTGGAATGACATAGGAGCAGATGAAGAAAGCTGGAGATACTAGAATGACATGGGAGCAGATGAAGAAAGATGGAGATACTAGAATGACATGGGAGCAGATGAAGAAAGCTGGAGATACTAGAATGACATGGGAGCAGCTGAAGAAAGCTGGGGATACTGGAATGACATAGGAGCAGATGAAGAAAGCTGAGGATACTAGAATGACATGGGAGCAGATGAAGAAAGCTGAGGATACTAGAATGACATGGGAGCAGATGAAGAAAGCTGGAGATACTAGAATGACATGGGAGCAGATGAAGAAAGCTGAGGATACTGGAATGACATGGGAGCAGATGAAGAAAACTGAGGAAACTGGAATGACATGGGAGCAGATGAAGAAAGCTGAGGATACTGGAATGACATGGGAGCAGATGAAGAAAGCTGGAGATACTAGAATGACATGGGAGCAGATGAAGAAAGCTGGAGATACTAGAATGCCATCGGAGCAGATGAAGAAAGCTGGGGATACTGGAATGACATAGGAGCAAATGAAGAAAGCTGGAGATACTAAAATGACATGGGAGTAGATGAAGAAAGATGGAGAT